CCAGGTACCCATTTTACTGATGGGGAACATAGACAACAGGTGGAAACAAACATGCCAAAGTTTCTACTCTGGCTGGGAATCGAACCCAGGCCCTTGGACCGTGTGAAGCGAGAGCGAATAGGCAAATTTCCGATCTTGGTTTAAATACAACGTTTCAATCTTGCCATATAGACAAGTGAAAATTTGTGTAAGTGCAATAATTTCGTCAAATCACTCAACCTAACGAAAAAAATATAATATTTCACTGTGTTTGTTTTTAGTATTAAATTACTGTAACAAATCTAAATATATTTAGTTGGGTTAGGCTAAAATAAATTTTTCTTGTATAATAAGTTAGGTAAGTTTCTAAGATTCTTTGGTGTAAAAAAAAAAAAAATTAAAAATTTTACATTAACATTAATGAAAAAAAGATATCTTTAAACGTATAACAGAAAATTTTAGAAAGGACTTAATATTATATGAATTCTTGCTAATTGACTAGTTTTACATATTCGGCACACATATATGTATATATATATATATATATAAATATAATATATATATATATATTAGTATTATATATATATATATATATATATATATTTATTTATTATTTATAAGGAAGGAAGGAAGGAAGGCGGGGTAGGGTCCGGCTAGGAAAGGTTGGAAGGGAGGTGGTAAAGGAGGTTTTGTGTGCGAGGGGCTTGGACTTCCAGCAGGCATGCGTGAGCGGGTTTTTAATACTACGTGCTGTTGAGTGTGAGCAAAGTAACATTTATGAAGGGGTTCAGAGAAACCGGCAGGCCGGAACTTGAGTCCTGAGATGGGAAGTACAGTGCCTGCACTCTGAAGGAGGGTGTTAATGTTGCAGTTTAAAAACTGTAGTGTAAAGCACCCTTCTGGCAAGACATTGGATGGAGTGAATGATGTTAAAGTTTTTCTTTTCGGGCCACCCTGCCTTTGGTGGGAATCGGCCATGTGATAATAAAAAATAATATATATATATATATATATATATGATATAAATATAATAATATATTATATATATATATATTATATATATATATATATATATTGTATATATATATATATATTAATATAAATATTTCAACAAGTCGGCCCGTCTCCCACAGAGGTACCACCTCTAGAACTTTCCTGGGACCCCTCATCCTCAGAGAAATAAAAACTTGATTCAGAAAAAACTCAAGGTTCTCCGACTGAAGCTGTTTGAAATTTTCTCCTGCCACGCCCTATATTTAATATATACTTTATTTTAAAGACAAAATACATTGACAAAACATTCACAAAATACAATAAAAAGTAAATCAACATAGATAACAACTCAGAGCTACATCTCGAAATACTTCGTCGCAGCTCCCCGCGGTGGCCAGCGTGCCTCAGAATGCTGCGTGGCCATTCCTCTCTGGATCGCAACACAGAGTGTCTGAACAGGAAGCTGTCTGCCGCTGTGGTCCATGGTCTATAACGAGCTTTTCACCCAGCTCTTTGAGGAACTTTTAGAGCACACTTGCCCAATGCTCCAAGGGTCTCCTATGACCCCAATATGGATATAAGTTTTTTTTATAACCAGGGGGACGGTCTTCATATTTGCGGATGCTTCTGGGTCTCCTGTGGCTGGCAGCTCCATCCCCTTCAGCTTCGGATTATGGCAAGTCAGGTATCTGCCCATGTGGCAGCACAGGTTTAGCCCAGGCAATCTGCTTTCCCCATCCTTCCGGGGTAGTTAGTAGCTCCATCAGGACGCCTGTTGACAATCCGTCAGACATCTTGCACTTAGGGTTCCCGTTGAGCTGGGCAACGGGCTGTGGCGAGGCTTTCCTCTTTATGTCAATTGACCTCCTCATGTCTGGCATACTTCCCTTCTGCTGATATATAGATATATATATATATATATAATATATATATATATATAAATATTTATAATATAAATATATATATATATATATCAAATATATAGAATATATAATATATTTGGGGGCTTTACTAGTGGCCTACATCTCACCTCCTGGCGGTATATAAGCTCCATCCTGTCACTTCACTCCATAATTGTTCAGACTATGGGAACAACACACCTCTCCAGACTGAGGACGACCACCTCAAAACTTCAAGGGTGATTGACTGATTACATCGTCTTCAATCTCTTCTGCTTCTATCAACTTTCCTGTACTCGACTAAAGAAGCCTACTGTGTAGGCGAAACGTTTCGAAATAAAGATTCTTAACTGTTTTCATACGTGTCTTACCAAACAACAAGTTATAAATAATCATGTACTTTTTTGTGCGTGTATTGGAAGCTTAAGGTATTGTATGAAATTTCATGTTCTATGTTTTTAAGCCGTTTATTTATACATTAATTTTTATAAATATAAAATACATGTGCAACATCCTATTATCGTTATTATCGGAACCTTTCGCTTTCACAACAGGCTTCTTCAGTCCATAAGTGAGGTGAAACAGCGTA